TTGAATAGTGGGAGAATATATGGATGAAAGGTCTAAAATTCATATTAAATTATAACTTAAAAGAAAACTTTTGTAAGATGATATATGGTTGGTATCTAATATCCGATAAGTTGTCAAGAATGTATAAAGGTCTCTCAAATGACTGTTGGAAATGTAAATACGAAAAATGAACTTTTTATCATTCATGGTGGACATGTGACAAAGCAAAGAAATATTGGAGTAGGATTCACATCTCAATACAGAAGATTCTTAAAGCGAATATCAAGATAAAACTGGAGACTTTGCTTTTTAGGCTTAATGGATAAAGAATTTGAAAAAAATGAAACTTTGATGTTATATATGTTGACGGCAGCAAGATTACTTTATGCACAAAAATGGAAGGATACTTTGATTCCCACAATAGATGAATGGCTGCAAAAGTTGATGGAGTTAGCAGGCATGGGTAAATTGACTGCTTTGATCAAAGAAAAGAACACAAATAATTGTGTTTCTACTTGGAAACCGCTTTTGGACTTTGTGCCTAAGGCACAAAAACTTTGATTTTGGGTTTTGCTGATAGAAATGGCTAGTATATAATATTATAAAAACAGAAAAAGTTGAGGTTTTATGTTACTACCTTATTCTCCTGCACCAAAAGGAGTTGGAAGTCAATGCTTTTTATTTTCTTTTTCCCCTCTACCTTATACTTTTCTCTCTTCTCCTTTCCCTTTCTTATTTTCCCATTATTTTAATCTTTTCTTGTACTTCCGTATTTTACATTTTGATAAACTAATAAATTAGTAAAACAGATAGAGTAAAAGAATTTAAAGAATCTGAAATAAACAGTGAAAAGCTTAACAAGATTTTGATTGTAGAAAGATATAGATTTACTAAGGGCTCAGAACTAATTGAAATATTGAAACTTTTACAATAAAGGTTTGGAATTAATTATATAGTACAAGCTGCTCCTTGTGGGAATAAGGTTTTGTTCTGGTTTTTATAAGACACAGATAATGAATTTAATGACTTCAAAAACTGGATACTAGAGGGGGCTAAAGTAGAGTAGTCTATTCCAACAACAAAAATATTGAAAGAGACTTTTGGATAATAACGGAAATAGTCATACAATCAACAATGTTTATAATTATGTCTGCTTCTACGGATAGACTACGTCTACAAGATTGTTGAAGAAATGTCAGATATAGAACAAATTTTACCTGACAATATAGAGATGGTGTTGAAAGTAGATTTACAATTTGACTAGCCAAGATAATAATTTAGAAAAGGATGTTTCAGTGCATTTACAAAATAAATTGGCTGAAGTTTTAAAATAACTTCATAGCTTACAAAGACCCTGATGATTGGTTTCTCAGCTATGCAGCTTGGAAACAGTAGCTGTCATAGACTGTGTAAGTGCTATAATAAAAGGGCTGGGCATTTCTGCAAGTCTATGACAAGATGGTTGTGTGTGTGTGTATGTGTGTGCATGTGTGTGTGTTTTATATAAAGTCTCTTCTCAAAAATGCACAATTAAGTTTTGCATTCTGAACCTATCCTTGCTGGCCTAAGAATCACATTAGTATTCTACCGGCAGCTGCCTATAGGTAGTAATATTATTTTGTCCATAACCAGAGGGAACAATTAGACTAAGCCATTCTCTGACTATAAACCAGCCAAAGTAATTGGGTTTAATTTTAATTTTTGCAATAGCTTTAAATTAATAGAAGCAGCTGCTGCCACAGTGTGTGGGTGTCCTTTTCCGGCAGGCATGGAACTTAAAGAGGAAAAGAGTAAACAATGATATGTCTAGGACACAGAGGTTAATACAAGAACTGAACAATGTCTTTGTTTAATCAAAAGCTTCACTGGCCATATCAGTGTGCCATAGCTCTTTCATTTCTCTGTTTTGATAGCTGCTTTCTTGTTTTAAATTCACAAATAGTCTCAATCTGATTAGGTTTTTGTTATTAGTATTGTAGTACCCTCACTCCTACATTTGACTTGGAAACAGATTATCCTTAAAAAACGGCAGTAAGAATAGATTAACCCTCTGGAGTTCCATTACAGATATACTGAGACTGAAGTTCTCTTAAAATAAACCTTTTCTGTAAATAGAGGTTAATATATCTCCTAAGGGAGAATAAGTCTTTCTCTTGTAGAAATCACTGGATAGTAAAACTAATAGTATAAAAAAAACAACAAAGAGCCTTGTGCCACCTTTAAAACTAACAGATGTACAACTGCATAAGCTTTTGTAGTTTTTAGTACATCTCATCAGACATATGACATATAATTCATTGAACTGTCATTGAACTGTGTTCAGCTCTTGGTGTCTGAATGGAAAAATGCTTTCCATCCCAATCTAATTTTAGTACAGGGATTGTTGGTAAGGGAGGAAAGTGGGGACGGTGAAAGGAAGGCGAGAGATTGCTTTAGTAATGAGATAATACAAAGTTGCAATTAAACTTCTAGTGATTGTTGAGGTGCACTCTGTTTGATTTGAAGCCCACTTAGATATATTTGATAGCATATTAAGGCAAGAACAATACTAGGATCCAATTGATTCCCTGCTTTTTCTACTGATTGGTTGATAGTCACCCTGGACATTTTCTGTTGCTCCAGATATTGGCTTCCCCCTGCTGGGATGTTGACAAGCTTTCCACACACATTTGACACTCCGTTTTGATAGTATTCTTAAATTTGGTTAGAAAGACAAGATATTTCACAGACCTGTTAGCACTGAATAGGTAAACCTAATTGGTGCTTGGAGTAGTTACAACCCGATATCAAATGCAGCAATAACATTCATGTTCTGCCTTTAGATACCCCAGAAGTTTTTGATTAGTCATTGTCATCATGCTCATCATCATGCTCATCGTCAGTGGTTCCTTTCACACCAAGCTTCTTCCAATGACTCTCATCTGTAGTGGCATCTTTGGCACTGTCCCATTTGATGTCCACTGTCTGTAATTCATCATTTAATGTCTGATGCCAAGTTTTGCGTGATCTGCCCTACCTCCACTTTCCCTCTGGCAGCTCCCATCGTACAGCATTTTTCAGGTATCATATTCCGGCAAGTGAAGAAATGGCCAGCGAGGCACGTTCAATGACCTCCGATCTTCCGTGACAAAATTTCTTGTTGGTGGTACAGTTGCACTAACTGACACTCAGAATTCTTCATAGGCAATGTTGATGGAATACATTGAGCTTTTCTGGTGTGTGTGCCGTTATAGATGGCTGCTGGCACAATGATTAGTTATCACAAGGGGGAAAATATTCATCTGGATAAGATTTTTTTTTATCCCTATCTACTGGTTATTGCCAATCATTTTTCCCTGTCCTTTATTGTTAGAGGATGGTTATGGTGAAACTCTTGTGTTCTTTGTTTATGAACTCTCCAAGAGAATTTGGCTGGCTCCTGGGAGAACAGAATGGAAGACTGGATAGGCCTTAAATATCAGAACTTTTTTTCCCTCTTTCTCTTCCTCTTGGACACATATACATATAACTACTACTACCTACATAGAAAATTAATTTCCTCGATCCTTTTGTCTCTATGATCCAAAATAATAATGAGAAAATTAGAGAGTGTATAACAGACTGCACTCCAACAATATAATACATATAATAAATAACCCTCTCATCCTTTTTGGTTGCCGAGCCAGAGCAAAAACAAGGGGAAATGGATTTTATTTCATCTCCATTGAGCAGTGTTGCAGTCTCTTTTATTGTTTTTTGTCAGGAAGATTTTGGTTTTGCTTTGGATGGTTCTTAACTGTGTCTAATTATAAAATATGTCATTTTCTACAACGGGTAATTTCTTGTTTCCATTTCACATTAAAAATAAAAGGCCAAAACTGATCTTCTGCAGTTGCCTTTTTTGGGGGGACTCATTACTAGAAAAGACATTAGTATTGCTGTGTTCTGCAAATCATATTATATTTTCTTCACCATCATTGCCTGATTGTAGTGAACTCCTGATAAAACCATTACAGAGGACCTGTTTATTATATTGCTTAATTGAATAAGCTAGTGCCTACAGGATAATAGTATTCTTTTGCCAGAGGGCTGGAGAATTTGTTGTATTTGATTACCAAGAGTCTTGTGGAGCCTGTCCAGGCAGATAAAAGCTGAAAGCTTATAATTCCAATCAATTTTGACTCATATACCCAAGATGGCCATATATAATTATCCTGAATTCTGGTACAAATTTAAATATGCTGTCCAATGCAAGATAATCTCATGCAAATTTGATTTCTGAAAAATGTACTTTTGCTCATCTTCCTGCTGTGAGTTTTTTTATCATCCAATAATTGATTTCTGTACAGTTTCAACATATGGTTTCAAGAAATAACATGTCATTTTATAGCTATTTAATAAAGCACATTGAAATGACTTATTTAGCAAGGGTATAAAGCAATATAAATTTGGAAAAATGTTTTTATTTTGCCTTAAATAAGTTGAATTTTCTGATATTCCCATAAGTTTTCATCACAACTCTATGATATAGTTTAGGATATATTTGGTCTTGTTCTGTACTCAATTTTACACTATGACAACTGCTTTTTCCATAGCCATTCTCTTACATGACATTAATTTCAATGAGACAAGGCTGGTAAATCAAATCATGGATCTATGGGGAATGTTCTCTTTGTACCAGGCTTGAATATATTAGACGACTTTATGTCATAAAGTGTTTTTGTGACTGGGGAAATAGAAAGGAACTTTTCAAAGCTGTTACCAAGTATTTAAAAATAGACTTAATAAGTTCTTCCAAAAGGCGTAGCCTTTGTCTGTTAGTCTCTTTTTAATTATTAGTCTTCTTAATAACAGATATGAAATTTATATAGGATTTGCAAAAAGTTTAAGCTCACCAAATCTCTGGATATCATTATCTGTTTCCATTTGCCTTTATTGATGCATTTTAATTCATGTTTATATATATGTATGTATGTATGTATGTATGTATGTATGTATGTATATTCTCTGTGATAGTTACTTTGTCTTATTTTATTTTTCAGGCAGAGACTTCCATCCCAAAATGTGTATTATTACCGCTGTCCTGATCACAGAAAGAATTATGTTATGTCATTTGCTTTTTGCTTTGACCGAGAAGATGACATATATCAATTTGCTTACTGCTACCCTTATACTTATACTCGTCTTCAGCATTATCTGGATAATTTAGAGAAGAGGAACATGGACTATTATTGCAGAGAGCTTCTAGGACTTAGTGTGGTAAGTAATGGTAGGATTTACCACTCATAATGTTTTCTTATAAATATCTGGATCTCAATGGTGAAACATGAAGTTTAATTGTCTCAGCTAATGGAACAATGGATTCAGTTATTTGCTACTATGATAGATATCAGTATAATGTCACATTAAAGCCAAACTATTACGTAGATATGTTAAATTTGCAACTGTCTATGTGAAACGATAGAGAGAAGATTAGTGAGGATTTGTTTCCATAATTATTATATGGAAATATGATATAAGCTTTGCTGATAGTATCTTCATTTTCTTTATGTTCACCAATATTTTGTTTGAAAAGCTATATTACTTCATAATTGGATTCATTTCCATGGCTTTATGTAAAATATACCTACATGAAGAGCCTTTCATTGTTATAGGATTTATTTATTTATTGAATTTAGAAAACCACTGAAGTCATAAGACTCTGATTGTTCTGAAGACAGATATGAATGAGGAACACTTATGTTTGTCTTTCCTGAGTTTGTTGGCACTTTCTAAGTCTAATAAAAAAAATGGAGCTTTCACTAGCATTGGTTGCCAGTAAGCTGTCTTTAGTCAAGGTCATGCTTGAGCAATTCTGTGGAATTGTAAAACTTGAAATTTCAGCTATGAAATGTGCTACGGAGGTGCAGAAAGCTCTGGAGACATGTTTCCATTTGATGTCAAGTTGGAAGAAGAGAATGCAGTCAAAAAAAATTAAATTACATTTTTATTTGTTATTTGTATTTTTAAGATGCCCAGAAAAAAAGTATTCTGTTGTTTCAGGACAAATAAAATACAGAAAATAAACACACATGTACACATATACTAAATTCCAACTAGAAAAACAGCTAATAGACAAAACAGGGCTGAAGACTATTTATGAACTCAGAAATTGTAGTTCATCCTCCTAGATTTTACAGAGTACTGTAAGAATTCAGCTTAAGAAAGTCGAGTTCCCCAAGAGCTCTGAGTTCCATTCCCACAAAAAAAGGAACTGCATTTGGCTTAAAATATTCCTGCTTTGGGTTTGAGAATGAAAATTTAAGTGTGGAAATCTCCTTTCCACCACTGGTTTTGAATTTTTAAAAAAAGTGAAGCTAATATTCTGCTATTCTTCAGAATTATTTTTCACTGGGGCTACCTCTAGGGGCTCAGGACTCAAATGTGGTTTGGGAGCTTGTTTGGGTATCAACTCATATGAAGACTTCAATGTAATGTAGACAATAAGAAAGATAACTTGCACTGAAATATGTAGAAAGCATTGCATTTTTAAAATCGAGAATGAGGTTATATTTGGAAGTGGCTCCCTAATTTGCTGGAGTATAAGAAGGGGAAGAAGGTGCAGCCAATCAGACTTGCAAGTTTCTGCTATTGTAGCCAATCTTAATAAAAGTAGCTTTAGCCTTCCTGTGGAATTGCTTTCCTGGTCTGGTCTACCTAGTGGGATTAACATCAATCTTGCCAGACTAATTTTGGAATCTTGGCTCTTACAACTACAGATATCCTCAGTAATTGGGACCATAATTTTTGTTGCTAAGCAATGTGATCAGGCAAACTGACAACAATTCTGGCAGTTCTGGTTGTAGTTGTACAGGCCTTTAAGTGGGAAAAGCTAGGAGTTCTGGGCAAGTAGGCCATTGGATATGCAGGTACTGTAGCTGGGGACATGGGCAGATATTCTGAGCATGGGAAAGTGTGTGGGTAATGGGGGGGAAAGGTGCTAGTGGCAGGCACCATGGAGGGCAAAAAAGCAGTGGAAGCACCATGTGAATCAGGAGCTCACAAACAAGGAAATAAAGCACAGGAAAGGCGGGTGGGACCAACTGCTCACTGGCGCTACCAGTTTGCTAGAACCAGTGTGAACCAGCAGCATCCCACCACTGCTTGTCTCCATACAGATGCTCTCTGCAAAGAGATTGAAAAAAAAAGCAGTCTTCAGTGGGATTTGAGAGACTAAACTTACCTAAACCACTCTCACCACCTTTTAACGAGACTCTTCCTCTCTTAATCACTTTAGGAAGCTGCTTGTTACTAATTTCTTGGGAGTTAAGAACTTCCCCCAAGTTCTTATTGTAATTCACCGGAAGATTTTGCCTTCTGTTCTGGATGAAAGCAGCTTTGGCTAAGTTTAAGGATTCACAAGAGAAGCCTTTACTTTTTGAAAAACTTAAAAATGGTTTTAGAATGTTGATTTTGGAAAATTAAGGAGCTAGATGGACTTGAAAGAACATTTCCTGTGGGGTGTTTAAACATTTATAAAATAGGATGTGAAGTTTTTGAAATTAAATGGTAAGAAATTCTCCTGTGACTAAGTTTTGCTGACTGGAAAATAAACAGATAAGAGGGGACTTGAAGGCTGGCTACAAGGAACCAGAAAGAACAAATATCTTAAAGGAAAAGAGCCCCATACATAATTTGTTTATAGAATTGCTTTGGAAAATTTAACTCAAAAGTTACTTACAAGATTGGGTGGCACTATAGCATAAGAACAATAGATTTTACTAGATAAAACAGAAACCTAGACTGATCTGAATGTGGATTTGTAGTTTAAAAAATGCTGGATTACAAAAGTGATTTTGAAGAAGATGTTGTGGATCAGAAAATGGATTTAAATAGAATGATTTAAGAGTGATATGGAAAACGATGTCAGAATAAATTTATAAATGAAACCAGCTGATGTTTTAATAATTAAAGGGGATACAGGTAATCCTGTACAGGTAATAAGTCAAAAGAATGACTTGGAAAATCTGCTTTGGATTTACAAAAACAATATGTAGAACCAAGGAAACTCTCCCCAATGAAAAGAAGATATAGAAAGTGTATATTTTATAATCTGACTATGGATAAGGGATGAAACCAGTGGTGGGATTCAATTTTTTTTTACTACCGGTTCTGTGGGCGTGGCTTGGTGGGCATGGCAGGGGAAGGATATTGTAAAATCTCTAGTCAGAGGTGGTATTTGCCAGTTCTCTGACCTACTCAAAATTTCCGCTATCGCTTCTCCAGAACTGGTCAGAACCTGCTGAATACCTCCTCTGGATGAAACATGGGAAGAAGAGGTTTTTTTTAAAAAAAATCAAAGTACTAAAGAAGTTAGACAAATTGTTTATACATGTCTGGATGGAGACGGAGACATCTTTTTAATATATTTTTTCTCTTTTGTTTTTATTATTTTTTCACTTTTCTTTTTTTTCTTTAATTTTCTTATTTGTATGTCTTTTAACTTTGTATTTCTAAATTTTAATAAGTTTATTTTAAAAACCCTGCATGGATTATTGAGAATACGCTGTGCATTTTTCAAAGTATGTTTTTCCATTTCCTCAGCATAAGTATGAAGAAATAAATGTAGTTTCATAATATATTTTTTTTGTAATAGAATAATAAGATTCTGGAAATAACAGACTTTGCTGGATAAGCAAGGCCTCAGCTTAAATAGTTTTGAAAATAGTGCCTTCAGGAAAAGAAGTGTTTACTCTCATTCTAAGTCAAGTTGTAGAAATAGATAAACAAACAAGATTTGAAATAGATAAACAAACAGGATTTGTTATTCTTATAAAAATTTTATTTATTCTACTTTGCTTTATTCTTAGAAATAAAACAAATTTTATGGAGGTGGAAATCTTCCTTTGATAACTCTTGTAAGTGAAAAAGCAATAACTAAATACCTGATTTGCCTCTCAAATTGTTATAATTTGTTTTATGCCAGGAAAACTGGATGAACAGAGTAATAAGCACTGGGTTGTATGTTATGTTGTTTACTGTCAATCTATATAAGCTTCAGTTGTATTCAAGCAATTAGGGTGCCTTTTCAACATTACAGTAAGATTGTTATTGTTTCTGTCATTTACTATTTGCTTGACTATGTTTATGAAAAAATGATACATGATTAGTAACAGAAGGAATGAACAAGTCAAACTAATAAAGACTCCTACAATGAATTGAAATTATATTACATATATTAACTTCCTTCCCCAGTGGAACATTACTAATAGTTCCCTGATCATAATTTCAGAAGTAGAAATTATTGGGTTGATTCACATTATTTTATCAACGTTTGCTCCCTTTCCCCCTGTTAAATTAAATAAAAGTTCATATTCAGTGGAATTATGAAGCACTAGTTTTAATAGCCACTTTAATAAACAGGTAGACTTTAAACAATATAAAAATCTAACAAATGTAGTCCAGCTGCCACTTGTCAAATGTCCTTTATTTGAAGGCTACTAGGAGAATTTTCCAGAGAATCTTCTTTGGTTATCAGCTGCATTTATGTATGAATAGTTTGATTGGATCTGTGTAAGTGGGGAAAGTGATATGTGTGTTTTATCAGGATTAATTAATTAATAATCAAGAACCATGCTTAACCTCTGCTTGAAAATTACCCTGGTAATATGAGTTAAACTCAAACTCTTTACATTTTGGTTTGGGGCTTGTTATGTCTACTTCTGGATCCATAGCTTCTAATAATTAGTACCATTGTTATCTCAGGATGTACCACATTTTTCGCTCCATAAGACGCACTGCCCCCCCCCCCCACCCCCCCCCCAAAGTGGGTGGAAATGTCTGTGCATCTTATGGAGCGAAAAATAGAGCTGCAGCAGTGGGGTCCTTTTACAGTGCTGAACCCTGCCTCTTCTGTCTTTGTCATTGTCCATTTTCCTCCTCTAAACCTAGGTGCATCTTATAGTGCGAAAAATATGGTACTTCTTTTTCTTTCCATGGTCTTACACAAATGAAGGTCAGAGAGAACACAGCCCCAGTGTCAGGCTTTGCATCAGAAATAGTGTTAACACTCAGTCATCCAAACATTTTGCTCCCGTATTCAGAAATTCCTTACCGTACAAGTTCATAAATACAACGTGAGTAGATAAAGCATTTTATGTATGTGTTTGTTCCACATTACATTCTAGGCCTTTTCATTTTTCTCTTCTCTATCAATAACAATTTGATTGTTTCATTTCTAGCCTTGAGACTGAGAACCACCTGCTTAGTGTTTAAATAAC